TATTTTTGAAAACCTATTTCATCTTTTCGTAAGACAATTTAACTTTTTGCGGTCATTTTCTTTCCAAGTTTTTCAATTTTGGTCCAGCGGTTACAAAACTACAGCCCTCGATGCAAACCCTTGTTCTAGGTAGAATTCTAGGTAGAATTAAACATATCTGACCTTGATATTGCCATTATATTGCTAAAACGATCCAAATTGCATATTTCCAAAACAATCACAACAGTATTTTAATTTTATTCCTCTAATTTACATAAGCAGCCCTGTACATTGGTATATAAGCTATGGAGCCATTTAATTTGCATAAATTGATGCGTTAATTTAGATAATTTTTCTATTAAATTTAGTTAGTACCCATATTTCATGGATCGAAATAAGTCAATTGGAATCAGTTTTCACGCAAATTTTGATATTGGTCAAAATAGTATTTAGCCCCTTTGGCATTTAGCCACTTTGGCATTTGGACCCTTTGCACGCTGACCAGCCAGGTATTTGGACCCATTAAGCGGACCTACAGCGATACATTATATTAGCTTTACTGATTCAAAGCAAACACGATCTCTTCACTTTTAAGAGAGAGGACGTTTTATTACACTCTCCGCCTTCCACTTTTAGGTTCAATCAGCGTACGGGTCAGTACCCTGAACCTGAGCCCGGGTCACCGCATCGCCAGACTGGGCGTGTTGGGTGTCCATCAATAGGTTTCCCGACCCGCTGAGGCCAATTCTGCAGTCGGAAAGGTCGCAAACCGCGTCCAGTTCGAGAGAGATTCCGCGCCGATCGGAATGCTGGGCAGACTGGCCGAGCTGGCGGGGGCGGGCGAGAAAAAAGGGCGCAGTCACTTATTTATGTATTTGTTTGCTCTTATTCGTCGCCCACGTCGGCTGCCGAAGACGCAAACAAACTGCCTCCGCGCTTGGCTCGCGCACCGAGAGAAGATCGATTCAATTTTTTTCATGCATCAGAAATTTGCAATTCTTTTCATTTTGAGCGGAACTTTTTGTCCGGTGAAATTGGTCATTGTCCGGCGCGGGCGCGCGCAACTATAGAGAAAGAGAGGAGAACAATGCGCGGTCGCCTCGGGTCTTTCTTCTTTCTCTCGTGCGCCGTCTCGTATAATATTTTGCAATAAATCGTGTAATGAGCAAGTCGGGGCCCTCGTGACCGCCCCTGGGGCCCTGAGCGGCCCCGATTTGCCCGTCCAGAGCTCGGCCGACCGCGCCTTTGCGTCAAAAAAGCATGCCATCCTGCGAGCGCAGTATCAGATCGAAAAAAGAAAGACTGACGGGCACGTCTCGCGAGGCCCGATCGCAAGTCACTCAACAGAAGCAGCAAACAGTTTCTCTTAATTCGTCGTGATTTGCTCTCGCGCCTGATTCGCTCGGCCTTCGGACTCGAGATGGAGATTCGGCAATCAAAAAACGTGGTCCAGACGGTTTTGAAAGCACTACGCAGGGATTGCCTTATTGTTCTTTAGAGTATATAACTTGGAAAGGACAAAATAAATGGTGATAAAATAAAAATTTCTTCATTTTCTAGTTTTCATCTTTATGAAAAAAATTGGATACTCTTTCTTTGAATGAAAAACAAGGCGTCCATCAAGTTTGACGCAAGAGTGAATATACGAATCGAGAAAAACCAAAGCGCATTTTTTACATAGAAGAAGCGGAAAATCGATTGGAGTTCGTGCGAAATGCTCGTCTGCTCTCTGTTGAAATTCCTCGGTAAAGCACCCGATCAAAAGAAAACAGACAGTTAGGTATGATTTGTTCTGGGAACGGTGCGATTAGTTTTTAATTTTCCGCCCTCACTCTACATTAAATGAATCTGACTGCAATGAGCAAAAAATAACGCAGATCATGATTTTTTTTGCGCCGAGAGAGGAATCGATCATTTTGCTGTCGCTCGTCGGCGGGAAATAATAAGAATGGAAAAAGGTCGCGGATGGAGCGGCGCCAAGAGATGCCAGATAATATAGCGAACGAGCGCGCGCGCGACAATGGCAATTTAAATCGCTCTGCTGCTCGTCGTCGTGTAAAGCAATAAAGTTGCCCGCTTATTTATCTCTGCTCGTCTCTCTCGTTCGTTTTATTTAAACGCACTGCGCTCGATTAAGCAAATAAATAAATGCGATGGCGCGACCTTTGCCATTGCTCATTTTCCGCGCCGAGACGTACTTCTATTGCGTGCGCATTGCACAGCGCACTTTTCAATTAATAATTGCCATGAATAGTCGTCGATCCACGCCAAGTTCAAACAACCAAAGACGACTCAATCAAAGGGCGGGGAAGTTTACAACTGACATAAGAGTGGCACAAAAGATCTGCGAAAAAATCGATCAATTTTTATTAATTTTTTTTTTTTTTTTTTTGAAGAGTGGTAAAATTTCTGATAAAAAATGTTTAATCATTTAAATTTAGAGAGTAGAAGTGCAATCCTATTTTTAATTTAGATATTTCATAAGTTTTGGCGGCTATTTAAAACATCTTTTTAATCAAATAAACAGTTAAGACAAGAAAAATAATTATCCAGATTTTATGACAAGATATGGAAGATTCATAGCTTTATTGGTGTTAATTAATTGCACATTAATACGCGTCATAAAATGAAAAATGTCGGCATATTTAATTGATTTAATATAAATCAGCAATCATTAGTACAGATTTGATGTATTTATTTTTGCTCTTTTTTCAAGCTTTTAAAACTAAAAGCTCATTCACAGGCTCTGGTTCTTTTTCTTCCTTGAAAATAATTAAAAAATGCAAATTTTAGCACGCTATTATTAATCGAGTAGAGAAAGCGCATCTCTCTATACACTTTTGATGTAACACGCGGCGTCGCGCAACGATATCGATTAACAAAAAAGAAGGAAAAATATTGGGCAGCGCGCAGTCAACTTTCATCTTGGGCGGGTGATTTGCCGGCGAGCCAGTTTATAAATCGCGCGGCCGCAAGTGTCAAATGTGGATTTTCGAGATCGAGTTTCACTTTCGGATTCCCTAGGTCTGTCTCTCTCTCTCTCTCTCTCTCTCTCTCTCTCTCTCTCTCTCTCTCTCTCTCTCTCTCTCTCTCTCTCTCTCTCTCTCTCTCTCTCACTCGTTGTTATGCGGCGACGACGACCGGAGCACCCCCGGGCCACCGATACACCGGACCAGTTTGATTCCACTCTTGGTTTTGTTCTGATTAAAGAAAAAAAAAACAATCGATCGAAAATAGAACTTCCAATTGTAATTGCCATCGCGGGTTTTGACGAGTAAGAGCGGCAGCGATTATGCAAAAGGCGTGGCCCCTTTTTGTATATTTTTGACTCGCGCTCTCTCATTATTGTCTCGTCGTGAGATTCAATCGCCAAAATATTTGCGCTCTCAAAACAGCAGACACGCCCACGCACCTGATTAATTAGGCGCCCCTGCAGCGATAAATGCGCGCATTTTGAACCGAATAAATAACCACAACTCGCGCGACCCAATTTGATATAAGAGCCGCTGGCGAAAATAAATAAATGATCAATTCGTCTCGCGTATCCATATGGCTCAGAGATTTTTTGCGAAAAGGAAACCTTACAAACGGAATTTTTGTACTGATATATAGGTCTAAAATTTCTGCAAATTTAAATTTATTAAGTATTAATTTAATACAAAGAAGTTATTGATTTTGAAAATTAAGAAAAATCTGAAATTATAAGATCAAAATCATTTATTCTCCATTCTTCACAATTTTTTAAAATTTTTCTTTTTGTGAACATCAAAATCCGCGTATATTTCTAAATTAATTGAACTTTTTGAAAAGCCTGGTAGAGGGATTTATTTTCTTTCAAGCGCCAATAAATGAATGGAGAACCTTTTGCTATAGGTGTGGATCAGCTTAATGCTAAATAATTCATTTATAATGGGATGTGCTGAGCACCTTTAGAGGTCGATTAAGATTTGAATGAAAAAATCGCTCATTATATTCGAAGTGGGGTGTCGCCTACTGGATTCGCCAAAGCTCTGGGCCCGAATTTGGAATTTGAAACCGCGATCGGACGCACCCATACCCCGAATTGAGACATTTTCTTGAGAGGGAGTGCGGACTGCGGAGGAAGACCAGCCGACTTGACGATTTCATTGCGCCGGTTTGGGACCGAGAGTTATAGTGTGGCGTGAGCGCCTCAACGAAACCTGATCCGAATCGGCGTCAAGCGAAAATTGGGTTCGAGGCGTGGCGACGACGCGCGGAGAAAAGATGACACTGACAATGCCTCATTAAAAGGGCCCACCTTTCATATTTCTCGCGACACTTCTCTATAACTCGCACGGTCCCAACGCCCATAAGCATCTCAAGAGAGCGGAGGCGAAAACAGATCCTCTAGAGTTGGGCCAAAAGTTGGATTTTCGCGCCGAAAGCGGCCGTCTGCTGGCACCGAGTCGCGGCACAGGGTGCGGCGATTTCACGCACACCACCCCGCGCATACAAAATCCATTATTGTGTGTTAACGAAAGAACAAAATCGCACGCCTTGACGACAATCTGTTTTGAAGATGAATAATATTCACGGTTGTAAACAGATCGTTAAAATTAAAGGGCAGAGCAGTTTAACCAACACGCTGTGCAACATTATAACCAACTGCTTTTACGGTTTTTATTTGTCTACAATGTTTAAAGTAATAAAAAAAATACGCAAATTATTAAAAAGTTTGTGAGAGGGGAATCAAAATTTTTGGTTAAAATATCAATTTGGGATAAAACCATGCGTTAAAGTCTTTTTCAATTTTTGTTCCGAATCAATAAATTGTTTTTTGTTAATTACTTGAGCATATCTTTTTGACAAAATCCCATGAATGAAATAAAATAGGAAATTGATCCTAAGAGACTTGTAAAAAAATTAATGATTTAGTCTATAAAATTCCTGTAAAAATCGAGTGTTTTCTCTTTCAATCTCTAACAAGAATTTAAGTTCAATGAAAATTTCATTGGAGACTTGAACGGTGGAGTTGCAATAATTGTAGATTGGATGCTGACCTGTCGAGAGGGCGTGCGGTGCCGGGCTGGATGCTGGAGGGGTCCGTGGGTCACTCGGGGCACTGCTCGTCACTGTCTCGGCAGGGCTGCTGCGGCTGGGCCACTGAAGCACCGACTGACTGCTGAAGACGCCGGAGCGCGCGTCCGCTGCGGACCATCGGAGTGGCGGCACCCACGCCGCCGCCCCCCGAGAGCCAGCGCACGCTCTTTCCCGTTACGAGCGCGCGCTGGCGGGGAGGGAGGGGCCGTCAGGGCGAAGGGGAGGGGCGCCAAACACTTTTCCTTTCTAAACGCGAGCGCGCGCTAATTGTTTGTTACGCGATCTCGCTCCTTTTTTCATCTCTCTCGCTCGACACTCCTCGCGGCGTTGCAGTGGCCTGTGATGAAAAAGGGTCCCGACGGCCGCACGGGAAGTCCCCTGGCTCGGCCGCTTCCCTGCTATCTTGAAGGTTGGCGTAGGTCGAGGTTCGACTCTCGCCGCCGGAAGTCGTGATGAGTCCTTTAAAGCGAGCAGAGGAAATTAGTGTGCATCAGTGAGAAGGTGTGCACAGCCGGTTAAACGATGGCGGTGCCAAGTCGTGGTTCTCAAATTTAAAACTCACCCATTCATGTCGAGAATTGGTTTCCGGCAGGAGAGGGGTCGGAAGGACTGCAGAATTTCTGGAATAAAAAAATTAATGATTGCATTAAAAAATATATCAATAATTAAATCTAAAAATTAAATAATTTATTATTCTGAGAGGGATGGAAAAAGTGAGAGATCCCTAGTATGCTGTATTTAATAATTTTTTTTCTAAAAATGCAAAATAAAAAATCAAATAATTTGTTATAAAACAGAATATTTGAAGCGGCTTGTAGAAAATAACTTATTTTGCCAAAGGCAGTTGTTATCCATTGTGTACTAAAACCTGTTCAAAATTTAAAATTGACACAAAATTGAAATGTTTCCCTAATTTTAACTGATTTCGTGGGGGAGATTAACATCTGTCGTTTAAATAAGAATTTTGTTTAAATACTCCATTCTGAAATTATTGATGACTAATCGCGTTTGAAAACAATTGCAATATAAAAAATATTGAAAACTGAATGAAATTGAAATTATTGCACATAAAACAAAGTAGACATTCAACGCATGACAAATTGAAGCATATAATGACAATTTAACTTTTATAGTATAATTTTAAATTGTGCTCCAAGCTAACTGGAACATATAATTGTTCCCTGGTTAAGAAATAATTTTTTAAGAAAAAAAAAATAGTGAGAAGGAGGCGCGCGCATAGCTATCGTTCTTTTAATTCCCATGCCCGTCAGAAACCACTACAGCAAGATTGCCTTTAATTAAACTCCTCACAGGTATCTGGTTTTTTTTATTAAATCTCTCTACACCTGTGCAGCAAAGCGTTGTCACTTTTTAATCAAGTGACGCAACTTGGAGGAATCTTCGTTGCACGCGGCGCTGCTGGATTTCGAGCCTTTTCACCGCTTAATTTGCCAACCGATTGTGGTCCGATTTCTATGGCTAATTCGGTCAAACGTATCAATTTGGAAGCGCAGCTGCTGCTGCTGAAGAGCGAGAGCAATTTTCGCTTGCTCGCTCGTCAGCCCCACCCGAGCGTGCTGGAAAAAGATGCTGCGCCGCCGCGACTGCGGAGGTAATTAGGCGGCGCGACGAGCAAATGAAAAGCAAAAGCTGCGCGCGGAGGATCCGATTTCGCAACCTTGATTGCCGCGGATCGATTTCAACTATACCAATCTCAATCATTATTATTTTTTTTTATTCCACCGCTGGCCATCATCACATTTTTGTAGCGTTTCGTCAGCTCTTGGGAGGTAAAAACATAATCCAAACAGAAAAAAAACTGGGCCAGCAGTATTCGCGTCTGCCCTAAGGAGGAATCTCCTAATTTACAATTGGAATAGTTTTTTTTAGTGCAAAGGACGTACTCAAAGATTACTTTTACTCTGAAATGTCTATGGTAAAATGTTTAAAATAATCCTCGCTAAAAAAAATGTGATTACATTTAGTTTAAACAATTTTGGAGAATATTATGTTTTACTTATAATTTTCAGTTTTCTATATACTGCAGAAGTTTTGTGGTGTCGTTTATTCAGGATATGCGAAAATAGAGAATTGAAACTGACCCTTTTTGCATATTAAGATCATCCCAATTTGTTTTGCTTTGCCAAAGTGTTTTGATGTATTTTGAGAGAATAAACAAATTGAATAAAATTATGGATTGAAAATGGGCCTTGATAGTTACTTCACCGTTCTGCAATGATTTTTAATTCGTAAATAGTGAAGCATCGATTCATAATCGAAAAAATTATGACAAAATGTTTCAGCCAAACTTATTTTACTTTTCTCAGGGTGAGCCTTGTATATGGTTAATTTCGTTAATATACACTGAAAAATTCATCCGAAAAATTGAAGCTTTTCAAAAGATGAGGCAATGAAATATCACTGAACCCTTTAATTCAAAATTAACAATTCAGTTTTTTTGCGCCCGATCGTGGGCCTGCCAAGCTTCTGGGCGTGCATTTCGACTTCAGGGACAACCGGCGGCAGCTTTTGGGTCATCTCTTTGAGCGGAAAGTGAAGGTGAGCCTGGAAAAAAATAATTTTGGGTGGAGCAGGCGCGGTCGTTTCGAAATAGAAAGTGGATCTCGCTCGCGAGATGCTGCGCTGCTCGGGTGGGAGGGGAAGTGAGTCAGTAACGGCACCCTCCCCTCCGACCCTGAAGGCCGCCGCCCCCTCCCCCGGGAGAGGCGAGCGATCGGAGCCCCACCCGGCCTCGCCTTTCTTATTTCTTCCGTCCATCTCGAAACTAGATCAACTGACTCTCGACCGGTTATGAAATTCATCTCGGCCGCCGATGAGCAGAAAGACCGCCCTTGCGCAAACCGAAACGAACGAACGCCTTTCCATCTCTGCTCGGACAAAAACACACACAGAAACCGAAACGGTCAAACTACCTGCCGACTCTCGATCTCGTTGAGCCGTGAAATATTTTTAACCCAGCCTCACACACAATAAAAATTAATTCAGCTCATAAAGAAAAGTGAGGCTTCGGTTTCCAGTGCGCCGCGAAAAGGTCAAACTGGATTAATGGTTTCGAACGCAAACAAATCGAGGAATGGAGCATTTCGCAATTCAATAATTATTATTTTGGACGCGGCCAGATTTGCATAATGAGAGGCTTACAAGCGCTCTTTATTATGAAAAATGCCAAACAGATGTTCGCATGTCGCTCTCGGTGGCGCCCCGTTATTCAACTGAAGAGAAAAAAGCTGGAATTTTTGCGTGTCGCGCGCAGAGCTCGGCTTTCTTTCTTTCTGCTCATTCCTCTCTCAAGATATCGGCGAATGTGTATTTAATTAATCGCCGCCTCCTCTGCTCTCCTGCTGCGGTCTGTTGTCGACCGGCGTGATTAATTAACTGAAAATTCATTATTTATATTCCCATTTCACGTGCGCGCCGATTTAATTAGTTAATTAATTAATCGGAGAATGCTGGATGGGAGATTTTGAGCTCGGCGCGCGCGACAAGCTCGAGATTGCAATTAAACACCGGGAGACGATTATCCAAATTGGGCACGCAAAGCTCACTCTCTGCAACCACAAGCACCGTAATATTTAATACACACAGACTATACCTTCTTAATTGAAGAAGCTATATAAAAAATTAGCACATCCAATAATTAGAAGGAAGATTCTGATTGGGAAATTCCATTTTAATAAAAATAATAAGGATTAAAATTAACGAACATCTCTGCTTCAATATCAATGGCTTTTTAAAATTAAATTACAATTAATATATTAATTAATGTGAACTAAAAACTGCAGTTATATTTTTATTTATAGTAATGGTGGACTTAATTTCTTTGTCTACTCTAAAATATTTTATAATTTTGAAAACTTAATGGTCTTAATTTTATATGGCTATAAACGATATCCTGCATTCATCTCATTTTGAAGGGGGGAAAAATAAATGCATAAAAAATATTACTCTATTACAACTTTAAACAGCAGAAATTAAAAGCATTCAAAGGTCCCATAAATAATTTCTGCGAAAACTAGCTTCTGATAAAAAATTATATAATTCTGAAAGTAAACCGCGGCTGTCCTTTTTGCGGCTCTGCGAAAATATGGAAATGAACTCGCAGGTTGTCTACGTGTGGCGTAAGGTATTAAATAATTCGAGCTCCTTTTCATTCTTTGTGTGTGTTTTTGTTTGCTCGCGAAAACAAAACAATACGTGTGCAATATGCGCCGCTCTTTCATCGTTTCTGCTGCATAGTCGCGACGACACGGTGAGAAAACGAATTCTTCCTCGGCGCGCATCCACACATTATACGGAGATGCTCTCGCGGCGTGGAAACGGGCGCGTGGGAGACGCACTTTGAACACAATTTGATTATGTCAAATGCATACATGCATAAATAAATGAGGAGCATACGCCACCGAATCGACGCGCTTCCCACGCGTTGCCTCACTCGCGCGCATTGTTCGCCGCCGAAGATGAAACTTTTGTTTTCGTTTCAACTCTTGGACGGCACACGAATTTAATTTATGTTGCGTTTATGAAAGGTGACGAAAAAGTTTTCTCCGTGTATTAAAGACAGGGGAGCTTAAATAGATTGATGGCAATGAAATCACCACTTTGCACTTATTCAAAACGCTAATAAGAAATTATTTGTTAATTATTCAAGCTTTATAGTTTTTTTCTATAAATATTATTTTTTTAAAGTAATTTGAATTTAAGTATTGCAATTAAAGATCAAGAAGAAAAACGATGGCTTGGTTTTAATGTAACGCAATATTTAACTTAGACAAACCGCATAAAATTTACAAAAATCCAAATATTTTATTTTATTTTATGCGCAAGATCAATTAGGATGTCCCCGTAAAAATTACACATAATGCACATGAAAATACCGACTTGATGATAATAATTATACAAATTATTAAAGTATTGAATTAATTTATAAATAATTTTTGTTTAAAAACCTTTTTGACTTCTCTATACTAAATTTGATGTCAAATCTTGTCTTATATGAATTGAATGTTTACATTTTGAGTGATCTCATCGGGTTAAAATTAAAAAAAAAAAAAAAAAAACAATATAAGAGTGACAAAATCGTTGTTTAACGATGACGAAAGTGCCGATTTTCTGATTCACTGCATCTCCCTTTCCGAAGCAAAATACATGAGCTCTTTGTCAACTGCGCGGTGTCCAAATATCTGTGTCGAGCCGATGGAGCAAAACGCGAGTCGTTCACGCCGATCGCCGCGGCCTTCTCGCCTCCTCGTCCTTCCCCAAAACTTTCCGTTTTGAAAATATATGAATGTGTAATAATATCGGCGGAAATCGGAAGCTGCAGTAGCAAGTGCGCGCGCGAGTGCGAATAGCAAAAAAACGCGCAGAGAGCCGAAGATCACTTTCACTGGCGAGTGACTTTCGATTTGCCGCCGCTGCATCTGGGCGAGAGAAACTAGCTCGGGCGGCCCGAGGCCTCCACACCCGCTACTCGACATCCTCGCTGACCACCTCGACGGTTTCGCTCCAGTGGCCCCGCGACCCGCGAGACACACAATGCGCCGCATACCGATTTCCTCCGCGCTTTATTTACATATAAAATGATCTGCAAACGGAACTTTAGCT